TGATCTTTTTTTTTTTCAAAGATTTCTATACAAAATCGTTTATTCAGCATTTGGTAGAATGGCGTCACCCGCTTTTATTCAATAGCCGATACGAAATTTAGTGTGGTCTGTGGTGAATGCGTACATGCATACGATCTGAGACAACTATGAACTAACGGAGATTGGAAAATATGAGTCGCCATGTGTTCATTTATTATTTAGCAAAAATTGACATGTTTTTTTTTACGTTATATATTTATATAATATATAATATATATTTTTTATATAATATATATTTTATATAATATATAAATTATTATAATTATATAACAAATTATATATTATATAAGACATTATATATTATATAAAATATATAAAAAATTATATATTATATAAAATATTATATATCATATAAAAAATTAAATATAAATATATAACGAAAAAAACCATGCCTATTATTGCTAACCATTAAATGAACACTTGGCACGCCAAGGGTTCTTTTAATATTCAATAAAAAAAAAATCAGCATCTTCTTTAACTTTCATATAATGTATAAGACGGGGTGTGGTAGGGTGCAGTAGATGGGACCTTGTTTCACTGCATCAATGCATTTTTGAATTTTTATTTGTATGAAATTGTTTGTTTTATTTTGGCCTGTGTGGGTCAAATTTTTAAAAAAGTGTTAGTTGATTGAGTGGGGAGGGATATATTTGTGTATGTGTACACAAATGTATGATTTTTATATCATTGTATTATTTTTTTATTTATTTTTAAGTATGTATCAATTATGTTTTATTAGTTATAATTGGAGAGAATTTAAGTGATTCAGTTTATGGTATTTAAGTTGACCCATGAGTGCCGCCGATCTAAAAGCGTATGTTCACAAAGTAAATAAATAAATATAAAAATGTTATTGGCTCTCGCAAGGCAGAACTATGCGGAGGTACGGTACGGTATGCTTTCTACTAAGTGCCACTTCTCTATTTAAAGAAATATGTTTCCTTACTTCTGTGTTGCTTATTTATTCTCATGGTTCTTATGTTCTTATATTCTCATTGGTCATATCCGGCCTTTCGACTTTTTTTTAACTTTCTGTATTTTACATAATAAATAAAAATAAATAAAGTTTTTCGTGTGTTATTGTGTGATTAGTCTCTTGGACCGCAGTATTAATAATAAATGAAACAACACAGTTCGTATATATTACAACCCTCACCATTGTTGAACCAATATTTAATTATTATTTTTTTTTTGTAACTGTGTAGAGGCCCATAATTGGTGTTCTCGTAATTCACCTTATTTGTTTAGAAAAGAAATTTTAAAATATACGTCTAATAAAGTGCAATAAAAACAGATTAAGAAAATCATTTCTTCACATGTACAATAAAAATGTTCATTTTTAATAGATGACTCTTGAAAATAATTGTATCATTGTATATTCTGTTATATTTATGTCCTTCAGTACTACAACTATTGAACAATGAATAAATATTAAATATTTGTTAGTTTGTATTAATTTTGTTAAAAATTTACTTTTTTGGCGTTGCATACAACTTTACCGATCGCTAAATATCACACTAGAGATTTAAAAAAGATATTTCACTATACGTGTGTACAAGATCAGAAGATTGGAAGTAGGGACGACTTGTCGGAATATAGATTTTCTATAATAATTTTTATAGAAAAAATATCAAATTTTCTTGAAACAACCCATTGACATAA